GACGCAGACGTAAGTTGCGAGTTTTTGTACAGTGCGTCGGATAACGAAAAGCCCAGAATGGCACACATTGTGGATATAAATGCATTTTTAACAAAAAGACGAATATATCTCATGAATCTTATATAGTGTTGTTGTTGTCTGCTTTTCCCGCGGTTTTAAGTAGGTCACCAGTGACTTTGCAATGTCAGAGAGAGCTCCGTCAGTTAAAATCTCTTAAGAGATTTTAACAAAAAACCGTACGTTTAGGAAAAAAACCCTGGATTAACTTTGAATGCAGGAATGGGGTCGTTGACCATTGGTAAGTACGGGAAAATTGCCGTTTTTTCCAGGAAAATCCAATTTTTGGCCAAAACGAAGAGTTATTATGACTTTAACATAAAGATATCAGAGGTCAACATAAAGATATCAGAGGTCAACATAAAGATATCAGAGGTCAACATAAAGATATTACTGAGGTCAACAAAGATATCACTGAGGTCAACCTTAAAATATCACTGAGGTCAACTTTAAAAATATCACTGAGGTCAACATGAAGATATAACTGAGGTCAACATAAAGATATCACTGAGGTCAACACGATGATATTACTGAGTTCAACATATATATAGATATCACTGAGGTCAACACGATGATATCACTGAGGTCAACATGATGATATCACTGAGTTCAACACGATGATATCACTGAGTTCAACATACAGATATCACTGAGTTCAATATACAGATATCACTGAGTTCAACATACAGATATCACTGAGTTCAACATAAAGATATCACTGAGTTCAACATAAAGATATCACTGAGGTCAACTTAAAATATCACTGAGGTCAATTTCATTCACCTCTGAAGTCACCTCTAAGATATCACTGAGGTCAACATTCATATATCACTGAGGTCAACATTATATCATCTAGGTCAACATTCTAAAGATACCACCTTTTTGACTCATGAAACTATTTTTCTTAAGAAATTATTTTTTACACACAGGCATACATCACCACTGTTCATGTTAACAAGAACATTACAAGTGGCTTTATGCAAATGTATGTCAATCAACAATTCTAACTACCATGCTCATAAACATGAAACTCGTTCATTAACATTATAAAGTAATACTGTGACTGCAAAACAACAAAATCACCTTGTCCATAGTCTCAGCAGCAGTAATATATGAATAAATGTGTCTTTTACCAGTAAATAATAACTAATAACTTAGGGGAATGTGTGCTATTAGAACTTAAATTTATGAAAAAAAAAATAGAGAGAGAGAGAGAGAGAGATTTCCAATCTAGCATCTTTTACCTGATCTTAAAACTTACAAAATATCTTTTTCTACTGAAGACACCATCACTCTTAACACTGTAACCCACCTGTGTCCCCACCACACCTGTGTTCCCTATATACCTGTGTCCCCACCACACCTGTGTTCTCTATATACCTGTCGTACCTGCCACTTCACCTAGTGTGGTGACAGATTTTAACATGTCACCAACACCTGTCATTTTCACAATATCTCAACCCTCAGGACGCACTGACAACTTACACTGTATTTTGGAAAATACCAAAAACACTATCTATAACCCTCCCTCCCTCCCTCCCTCTCTCTCTCCATATAACACCCATTCCTAACATGTACAATACCTGTACTAGTACCTACATCTCTGATATTAACCCGTCACTGATCCCAGATCTTTAATAATCCACATCTAACTAACTTCTCACCACAATGTCAGCCACTGTTGTTAATATTGCAGGCACTTTATGAGCTATGGTCATAGATACCCCAATTTCCATTGACTTCTGTTTAATATTACTACAATACCTGGGTCTATATGGATACCGGAGTCCTCATCAATGACACTGCAGTCAGCTTTACCTCCATTCTCAAATTTCTCTGACAACGTCACCCAATCCTGCTCTCCATTACAAATTAATTCCCGTGCATCTAAAATGTTCTCAGACTGTCCAGAGTCCCTCTCACTGCCATTTTCTCCTCCATTCTGTGACGTATGCTGCTCCAGTAAATATCCACATCCATCCCTCAATGAAGCAGCCTGTGACAGTTTAGTTTTCTTTGTTAAAGATTCCTCTGTGGAACCATCTTGCCATGTTTTGATTTTTTGCGCCAATCTTTTCAATGCCAGGTTAAGTCCTCGCGGAGAGTCTGGTAGCATTGTGTTTTCAGACCCAGCATCTGAAACGTGTTCTTCAATACCATTTAATGTTATCCTCTCTTCCTTGTCATCATCATCTTCGTCCTCATTCAATATCATTCTCTCTTCTTTGTCATCTTCCTCCTCCTCCTCAATCAATAAAGTTAAAAGATCCCAAGGAAACTTGTCATCCACTGCTGAAGTTTCTTGCTGTGTCTCTATTCCTGATTGTTCATCAGATATCTCGCTCTCTGTCTCTATTCCTGATTGTTTCAGTGAGATCTTTATGTTGCTGTCATCATACTCTGCACTACTACTACCACCAGATACCTCACTCTCTCTGCTATCATTACAAACTCCAGTCCCTAATGTCTCTATTATCACTGGGGATACTTGAACTGTTGAAGAAGTGACCTCAGGAGTTCCAGTTTTGACTGTTAATTGTTCCCCCTTAGAGGACTCACGTTGCTGCATATTTTTTTCGCACAGCAGAAATGTCACCTCTCTCTCATAGCAAACAGATTTTTCTAAATCTCCATTTAATATTTTATTCTCTCCCCAATAACCATCATCTCCATTCAGCAGAAACTCATTTACAGCTGGAGGTCCTTGCATCTTAGATTTATCTGATAGTTGTTGAATCAGAAACTGTTTACACAGAGTCGACAACATTGGTGGTAACTGTTCATCAGATGAACTGATGGAAGCTTGTTCTTCAGCACAGTTAGACTTTACTTCAATTGAATCAAATATTTCCTCCTCTTCCTCCTCATTTGCAATACAATTTACTAAATGACCCAATGGTAACCCTACATCTCTTGAACAAAGGACTTCTGGCATGTTAGTTCTGTCTATGGTCTTTTCCAACAAAAACACCTCATCTGCAGCTGAGGATTTCTGAAGAATCTCTTTCTCTGACGCTGTTAGTGAAACCTTATTTTCAGTGCCAACAAAGTCTTCACCACCAACTCCATCTAATACTTTGTCCCCTCCCTCGAGCTTATCACTGCCATCTAACAGACATAACTGTCCCGAGGGATGCTTATCACTGGGAGATGTTAGAGAGGAATCTGTCAGTGCCTTCTTTTCAGACACAACCACTGAAACTTGCCCTTCAGTGAAAACATCTGATTGACCCATTCCATCTATCCTTTCTTCCTCCCCCTCCTCTCCATTCAACACTGATAACAGTTCCAAGGAGAAATCATCCTCCCTGATGAAAGATGCCCCAGGCATCTCATCTGTGTCTGATAACTGTTCCAGTGAAATTACAGACACCAACACTTGTGCCACATTGTTTTCATCTGATAATGTTTCCACAGTAACGTCATTCAAGCAACAAGCCTGTGACACTTTTATTTCATGTACTATGTTTTCTGATGTATCAGTAATCTTGTCTCCAGATGACGGATCTTGATCTTGTGGCATGTCTTCTAGCCTGGTAATCCATGCCTTGTCCATCGGTGGATAAGACAATGATGACACCTGCGATGTACCTGAACTTGACGGCCTGTTATGACAGTGTTCGTTCTCAGAGCAGACTGCCGTCCTAAATGTGATTACAGCAGAAGATGAACAACTTGCGGACCCTGATGGAGCTGTGGAGTGATAGAGAGTCATTTTGTCATTGTCACGGCAGCTTAATGTGACCAGGAATCTGACTGATGCAGACTTATGGATTTATGGCGTGTGTCGCAGACCCTCTTCACACAGACGTACTGTTGGATGTCTATAACACTGGCTGTTTAATGAATAATGAAGTACCCTCTTACACAGACATTTGATGTCTATAGCATTGGTTATTTAAAGTATAATGAAGTACCTTCTAAACACAGATGATTAGGTCTTTAACACTGGCCGTTTAATGAATAATGAGGTACCCTCTTAACACAGAGGTTTGATGTCTATAACATTGGCCGTTAAAAGTATAATGAAGTACCCTCTAACACAGACATTTGATGTCTATAACATTGATTGTTTAAAGTATAATGAAGTACCCTCTTAACACAGACACAATGTTTGATGTCTAAAAACATTGGCCGTTTAAAATATAATCAAGTACCCTCTTAACACAGACATTTGTCCTATCTGATGTTTAGAGGACACATAGTACTATTAGGATATATATATATATATATATATATATATATATATATATATATATATATATATATATATATATAGCATACCTTCTTAGCAGAGAGACAGTTTATAATCTCACCAACTTGTATCTAAATAGCATGACAGAAAATATAATAAGCATAAATATTTATTATGGACCTCTGGTGAGTGCAGAGTACTCTCTTAGCACAGATGTTACAGTAATTACAGAAATATATCCAGTGTTATTGATGACTTGAGCCCTGTGAAAGCTGGTGCACCCTGTAGACTTGACCTCTGTAAAAGCTGGTGCACCCTATAAACTTGAGCCCCGTGAAAGCTGGTACACCCTGTAGACTTGAGCTCTGTAGAAGCTGGTACACCCTGTAAAAGCTGGTACACCCTGTAGACTTGAGCCCCGTGAAAGCTGGTACACCCTGTAGACTTGAGCCCCGTGAAAGCTGGTACGCACTGTAGACTTGAGCTCTGTAGAAGCTGGTACACCCTGTAGACTTGAGCCCCGTGAAAGCTGGTACGCACTGTAGACTTGAGCTCTGTAGAAGCTGGTACACCCTGTAGATTTGAGCCCTGTAAAAGCTGGTACACCCTGTAGACTTGAGCCCCGTGAAAGCTGGTACACCCTGTAGACTTGAGCTCTGTGAAAGCTGGTACACCCTGTAGACTTGAGCTCTGTGAAAGCTGGTACACCATGCCCTGAGCTGTACACACTTGACAACACTGTAGCCGTGTGCTGGGTACTAATGAAGCTCTGCGGGGAAAACTGCACGCAAGAACAAATCTCCACCAGAGACAGTCCCTAAATCTGACTCTTGTTAAACAACAATTTTCCACATGTGAGTTCATTATTCAAAATATGACGGAGAGTTTACAGCAACAATTGCATGCTTCAATATTGTAAATCTGGGCTCTTGTTGGTGTGGACTTTTTTTTCACTAAATGCTATAAAAATATGCTCTGACTTGCGAAAACTATAACATAAACCACAGAATCAGAATATTTGATCAGTTTTATAAATCTGGTGAAATAAAAGCAACATGCCTGAGACTAACGAAGTGTTTGTTGTATTTCCAACTATACAACTAGTATGTCACAAGCCATTTACAGTATATAACCTGTTTATAAATCTCAACTGTTTGCTATTTTACTAAACCAATAATATGATAACAAAATATAATTACTCTATATCAGGCCTACCCAACTACCAGACTCGGCACCGAATGATCCAGAATTCACCTGTAAATCAGACCACACTACCCGTTTTCAAGGTGTGTATCAGATCGCATTACACAGTATCAGACGCGACACCGCTCTTGCCTAGTACGCGATGTGATAGTGACGATTCTCAGCGGGGTATCACCACTCAAAATTTGTTAAGGGTATGATACTGTGTAATGCGATCTGATACACACCTTGAAAACGGGTAGTGTGGTCTGATCTACCGGTGAATTCTGGATCATTCGGTGCCGAGTCTGGTAGTTGGGTAGGCCTGTATATCCCCACATAGATGACTAAGATGAGAGTTATGTTAGTTTTCTGTTGGACAATCAGATACCATCTCAGATGTTGCCAGTGATAAAATGTACTCAGTGCTGTGCAACCATCCTTAAAATAGCTGTCAACTCAGAGACAGGGAGGGGTGGAGGGGGACAAACAACATGTAGGGAAAGGTGAGTCAGTAAACACCAATTTCATAAAAGTGCCATACCTTAACTGGGTTTTATTGAAAAATTAAGAATTGTCTATACCAACCTCTTATTTTATCAAGGTGAGTAAAAAACACCAATTTCATGAAAGTGCCACACCTGAATTAGGTTTTATTGAAAAAGTAAGAATTGTTTATATCAACCACTTATTTATTCTTTCAAACAAATGCACAAATAAACACTCAAATAAAGTACTGAGTAGTAATTTCTTCTTCAATCCCTACCTAATATTGAAATTGTTCACCTCTTGACAAAAATGCCAAGATATTGTTACTGTATAACACAACACAGCTGATGAAATTCTTCTCTCAAACACCAGAAGCAATAAACAACAAAGTATGCTTGTCCTTACCTGGATACCTCCTATGATGTCTCCTCTGCTATAAACACACAGCTATACTGCAATTTAAAACTGACTGACAATATCTTGTGTGTTTCCATCAGACTTGAGCTGTCTACACAAGGGCTGAAACAGAGCTACAGCAGCCAGCTGTGGCCAACACACAAAGAGACATAGATCTACAGTGAAAGTGACCAGAATGTCTTGGTGATACTCAGACTGACAAGCACAGTAATTATGCCCTTTTTTTCTCAAGTCAGACAAATATTTATTGTCACAAAAGAAGACTGCCCTAATAGCAGTGATTGAGGGAGGATAATTTGGGGTTCCACACACTTGAGTCTATTTATAGTTGAATGCAGACACAGAGACAGCTCTAGCCACTGCAGTGAAAAGGCCAGCAATGACCAGCTCTCATAATATATTCACACAATGGTGCAATTTCCCATCTTCCTCTCAGCATAACTCTCCTTTGAACATTTCTCGTAATTTTATCCTGTTTGGGTTTATGTTGGTATATATGATGCTCTGCTGCACCCCCATCTCTCTTCATTCCCTGACATACAGTAATCAATTTGCATTTACTCCTCTGCTATTCCCCCTTCTACCCCTTCTCTCTCTCTCTTTCTATGCCCCCCCCCCC